CAGCTTGGTCTGTGCATGTCTTGCAATTTAATTTCCTTCCATTCCAAAGCAGTCTCTTGCCAGACCTCTGAGGAATTCATAGTTTGCTAGTTTCATCCAAGAAAAGTTTTGAGAGAGACCTTTGTTGTACTGTGAATTTCCTGTTTCACGTCAAGAACCTGCCTTCTAGGAAGGGCGGCCGTGGCAGGGTGGTGTAAAGATTGTTCTTCATGGAAAATTTAGCATTCATTTAATAACTGCATATTTAAAACACCTCCCACATGCCAGACCCTGTGCTGGCGACCCTAGTTGATGGCCTTCCCAGAGAGGGGGAGGAGATGGCTAGCGAATGGGTGAGTGCAGTCGGCCTTCACTTTTCTGATGGGCAGATGTCAGGGGCAGGTTCGGGAGGTGGAGGCCGGAGGAGAATTTCGTGTCTTCGGGGAAGCCAGTGGTCTCACAGAAATAGTCAGGACATGTTTCTGGTCTGCTTTAAAGAAGGAATGGGGCATAATCCAAGTTAGACTAAGAGGCAGCCCAGTCACCTTTGTCTGGAAGATGTTGAGCTGGCAGCGTGAGTTAGGGGAGCAGAAGTCCTGGCAACCGCAGATGCTTTCAGTCTCACTGTCTCCCAGGCTGGAGTGCAGTGGTACGATCTCAGCTCGCTGCAAACCGCGCCTCCCAGGTTCATGCCATTCTCCTGCCTCAGCCTCCTGAGTAGCTGGGACTACAGGTGCCTACCACCACGCCTGGCTAAATTTTTTGTATTTTTAGTAGAGACGGGGTTTCACCGTGTTAGCCAGGATGGTCTTGATCTCCTGACCTCGTGATTCACCCGCCTCGGCCTCCCAAAGTGCTGGGATTACAGGTGTGAGCCACTGCGCCCAGCCCTGTTTTTGTTTTTTTTTTTTTTTAAGAGACGAGATCTTGTTATATTGCCCAGGCTAGTCTGACTCAAGTGATCCTCCCGCCTCAGCCCTCCAAAGTGCCGTGAGCCACTGCGCCTAGCCCCTTGTGGGACTTTTAGAGCAGCTTTTCCTGAGTACCCTGTGAAGAAGGGCCCCCATGGATGTCCGCGTAGGAAACGTCCCCGCTCCCCTCCTTGAAGATTGACAGTGCATAGCCTAACAGCTCTGCCAGGCCCATCAGGAGAGAAATCTATACAAGCCTGCCCAGGGTTTCTGGACATGAGTCGTCGAGGGCGTCCCTTCCTTTGTAACACCTGAAGCATTCATTACCACCTTGCCACCTTCTGAGGCATCACAGAACTTCACGCGTTGCCTCCTCTGACCTTGACTTGAAATTGCCATGAGGGTGTGGGCGGTGGACCCTTTCTGGCGGTGGCTGGTTTAAGTTTGGATTTTGAGTTGGATGCCCTTCTTTGTGTTTGTTGAGCGCCACCTGTTGGCCATAGAGATATTACAGAAACTCGGGGTGGAGGGGTCATGCCAGTTGGGAGTTCTGATCTCCGTGTTGCTGCTGAAGTCTGACTGTGTTTGATGTAAACACCAAAGAAAAGGGAAACATTTCAGCTCACAGAGAGGAAGAAGAGGGGACCCTCAACTAAACCTTCTAGCCTGTAAGGCTAAATTTCCCTGCGTATTGCCGCTTCCCTCATTGTATGTGATTAAAACCCTCTGCCCTCCAGGTTTGCTGCTACCCCCTGCCTTCAGACTCCCTTTTTTGGTTGGTTATTTTTTTTTTTTTTTTTTTTTGAGACGGAGTCTCGCACTGTGTCACCCAGGCTGGAGTGCAGTGGCCAGATCTCGGCTCACTGCAAGCTCCGCCTCCCAGGTTCACGCCATTCTCCTGCCTCAGCCTCCGAGTAGCTGGGACTACAGGCGCCCGCCACCGCACCCGGCTAGTTTTTTGTATTTTTAGTAGAGACAGGGTTTCACCATGTTAGCCAGGATGGTCTCGATCTCCTGACCTCGTGATCCACCCACCTCGGCCTCCCAAAGTGCTGGGATTACAGGCTTGAGCCACCGCGCCCGGCCTGGTTGGTTATTTTTGTTTGTTTGTTTGTTTTTTGAGACAGGGTCTTGCTCTTTCACTTAAGCTGGAGTGCAGTGGTGCCATCATGGCTCACTGCAACCTCAAACACCTGGGCTCAAGCGCTCCTCCTGCCTCAGTCTCCCCAGTAGCTGGGGCTACAGACGCACGTCACCATGCCCGGTTCACACATTGAGGGCTTTTCACTGCCTCGATCAGGCTGAGTTCTGCTCACTGGGGCCACCACAGGCCAGGCAGAAGGAACTGCGTGGGCTTTGTCTCCTCTCGGCTGAGCTGGCTTTCCTTATCCTCTAGGCCTCTGCTTAAGCACCACTTCCTCCAGAAAGCCTCCCCTCACTGCTCTGGCCAGGTTGGTTATCCACCTTGTGCCCACAGCCATCTGCCCTTCAGGACGCTGAGCACGCAGGCATGACATGTGGCCCACCGAAGACATGTTGCATGAGGAGAACCTCCCCGCCTCAGCTGTCCCCTGCCTTCAGTCCTCAGCTCTTCACAGCGCAGAGTGGGTGAGGCTTCTGCAGCTACGTGGATCCCACCCTCAGGGCTGGTCTGGCACTTGGAGCTGACTTCTGCCCAGGTCTCTGTTCCTTGTGTTGGCAGAGGGCACCGGTGTTACTTTTTCCACCTGTGGAGGAAGAGGAACCACATGGCAATGTGGCAAACATAAGAGAAAGAACTTCAGGGCGGGGGTTGTTAAAAACATCATGCCCTTCGATATATGCACCTACTGTGTATCCACGAAAATCAAAACTAAATTTTTTAAAATTATGCCTTTTGCTGGGCACAATGGTGCATACCTGTAATCCCAGCAATTTTGGAGGCTGAGGCAGGAGGATCACTTGAGGTCAGGAGTTCAAAACCAGCCTGGCCAACATGGTGAAACCCCGTCTCTCCTAAAAATACAAAAATTAGGCCAGGTGTGGTGGCTCATGCCTATAATCCCAGCACTTCGGGAGGCCGAGGCGGGTAGATCAGCTGAGGTTGGGAGTTCCAGACCAGCCTGACCAACATGATGAAATCCCGTCTCTACTAAAAACACAAAATTAGCTGGGTGTGGTGGCACATGCCTGTAATGCCGACTATTTGGGAGGCTGAGGCAGGAAAATCACTTGAACCCGGGAGGCAGAGGTTGCCGTGAGCTGAGATCGCGCCACTGCACTCCAGCCTGGGCAACAAGAGCGAAACTCTGTCTCAAAAAACAAACAAACAAAAAATTAGGCTGATGTGGTGGTGGGCACCTGTAGTCCAAGCTACTCGGTTGGCTGAGTCAGGCAAATCTCTTGATCCCGGGAGGCAGAGGTTGGAGTGAGTCAAGATCTCACCACTGCACTCCAGTCTGGGCAACAGAGCGAGATTCTATCTCAAAAAAAAAAAAAAAAAAAATTTATGCCTTTCAGTAATGACTTAACTCTAGATCATTGAGATGGTTATTAATATCTTTGTGTTTGCTTTAGGGTTTACCAGTTGTGTGTCTGTCTAAGCATGCATGTGTGTGTGTATTTTACTGTACACAAGAGTGCTTTCATTTAGTCCTTATTAACACACTCTGGAGGAGGGGATGTCATTCTGATTTTACCCAGGGCACTGCTGTGGTAGGCAGCAGGTACGCCATGACACAGCGGTGGCTGTCCAGTGCCGTAGCTGCCTGCTGTACTGCCAGTGAGGCCAGGCCATCAGCATGGAGGTGGGTTAGATGAGCCTTTGAACTGGGGAGAGAAGGAAGGAAGAAGGCGTGTGACTGCTCTGAGTCCCTAATCCGTTGCACAGAAGCTGCTGCTGTCTGCGTGTCTCTTGTGTGCTGAGAGGATGCACTGTGACATTTTTCCGGGGGGTGTCATAACCTTCTGGCCTGTATTGCCCAAAGCCTGGGCTCCTTGGGGGTTTGGGTGGGGATAGGCACAAGGGTCCTGCCAGTGGCACAGCCAGGGCATCTGCCTTCCAGGGCAGGTTCCAGGTTCACGGAATGGTTGTTGCTCAGGCGCTTCCTGTGAAGGCTGCAACTATTGTTGGCAAATTTTGGCTTGCCACGTGGCCTTTCTGAGTAGGACTGGAGAAGGGGCAGGACTGTGGCCTGTGGTCAGATCAAACCTCCACAGCCCCACTGTGATGTGGGCCAGAAATAGTGAAGCCATCTGAAAAAGAGAAACCCTATGCCGGCTGCCCAGAGATGGCTTGGAAAACTGAGCTGCCCAAGACGGCTGTGCCACCACGGAGGCTGGATTTACGAGTGCTCTTGACATATAGTGAAGAATTGTTAATTGAACCCCTACTATGTGCCAAGCCACCTAACAGTCTTCCCTAGAGCAGCTGCAGTGTCAACAGGGAAAGGCGCGTGTGTGCAGATACTGCTACATAAGAGCTCCTGTGAGACCGTCCCAGAGTGGAGGAGAGCAGAGGGACCCAGAAGGAATAGGCAGCAGGCTGGGAGAGGCCAGGCCGGCTCAGAGGAGATGGTGTCAGGGGCAGCATCTTGAAGGATTAGAAGGTGTCTGACTGGAGGGACATCATGAGTGAGGACCATGTCAGAGGCTCTGGGAGGCAGGAGGGGCCCTGCCCTGCAGGCACTCAGGCCAGTGGGATGCTCAGGTACTTGGATTGTGAATGCCTCGTGGGGGCTGGTGGCAAAGCAGGCGGGCCACGACCAGGTCACAGGAGCCTGGGTTTCACTCTGTGGTCAACAGATTTCTTTTAATTTTTAGTTATGGAAAATTTGTAGGATATGCCAAAGTAGGTGGAAGAATGTGGTGAACCCCACATGCTGCCGCCGCGCACACCAGTCGCTACCCCTGCGGCCAGTCCTGCCCTCCGCACCCTGACAGCATCCCCGCCACGCCCTGCCCTGTGTGGCTCTGAAGAAATCCCCCAGTGACCTGAATTCCATGAAGCCCAGTGTCTGGCTGGGGGTGGGTCAGTCAGGAGTTTGGTCCTGGAATGATTGGGTGGCACTTTGTAGTTTCACTTCAATTTCAGAGTAATCACTGAGTCTCCCTGTTTGTCTTGCCTTTCAGTGGGAAGTTGGTGTCTCCAAAGTGGAAGAATTTCAAGGGCCTGAAGCTACAGTGGAGAGACAAGATCCGGCTCAATAATGCCATCTGGCGGGCCTGGTACATGCAGTGTAAGTGCCGCCCAGCCTAGGCTCCGGTGGTGGTGAGAACTCCATGGCCTGGAGGCCTGGGCACCCAGGGGCTAGAGTCTGCTCCTGAGACCTGGTGTTTCTAACAGAAGTTCAGTCTGTGCAGACAGGAAGCCCAAGCCAAGTCCTAGGGGAGTAGACATTTACTGGCTATCAGGCCCAGCAGAGGGGTGGCATCTGAAGAGTCAGGGAGCAGGTCTAGGAAGACTCGGGCACGGGCCTTCTCTCTCCAGCCCGGGTGTCGTGGACCTGGCAGCTTCTTCGGGAGATGAGTGTGCTGGGGCAGGCTTGTGTTGGGCTGACCTTTCTCTGAGTAGCCACACTGCCTTTCTGGCTGAGGTGTTATTGACAGATTCCTCCCCTTTCACCTGGATTCCTTTATTCCCCTGAAATCTCCTTTTCCTAGGGAAGGAGAAGGAAAGGGTACCGGGGAATATGGTCCGCCCTGGGGGAGGGGTGCGGCAGACAGGCTGGGGCTCCCTCAGGGGTCTAGATCATGGTATGACTCTCACCCTCTCTCTGCTCAGATCTGGAGAAGCGCAAGAATCCTGTGTGCCACTTTGTGACGCCCCTAGACGGCTCTGTGGACGTAGATGAGCACCGCCGGCCGGAGGTACTTGGCAGTGACCAAGGGTGGTTGAGAATGGAAACATACCAGCACCTTACCAGGAGCGGCTCACCGCGGGCTAGTCCTGCAGGAGAGGCTGCAGAGGGGAGTACAGGGGCCAGGCCTGGGAGCTGGTGGCCTCTGGCAACCGCAGGCTGCAGAGCCTCCCCCTTCTCAGAGGGATTGGCCCAGGGACTGAGGGGGTTAATATCTTTTCTGTTAATTTTTAAAGTGTGTGTCTATGTGTGATTATACATGCACAGGAAGTGTCTAGAAAAATATACAGACGTGTCTTTATTAAGAGACTTCAGGAACCTCTGGGGAGTAGGATTAGGGCTGCCAGATGAGGGGGAGATGTTTTCTTCACTGCATACTCTTCTGCGTTGCTTTAATTTTGTCTAGGCATGTCTCACTGTTAACGATAAAGGGGAATTTAGAAGGTAAGCTAATGAAAGGCAGTTTTGAGACAGTCAGGTATAATCTGGTATTAGACAGTATCAAGGGATATCATTTTGTTGGGTATGGCAATATTGTAATCAGTTCTTTTTAACAGAAAAGCATCTTCGCTGTCGCTGTCAGGGACACACACAGAGTGTTTGTAGGTGAGGTGATTTGGACTTTGAGATCAGAAAGTGAGGCAGCCCCAGGCGCTGGGGCTCCTTACCTCTAGAGCTCGGAGGCTGTCATGCCAGGCATCCACGCTGGCATCACGTGAAGGTTGGATGAGAGGCCCCTGGAGGGCACATTCCACGTGAAACTTCCTGGAATTGGCTGTTCATTTTTGCCCTTTGAATGTGGCAGAGGCTGTGGGGAAGGCCTTTTATGGGGGGCTCGGGAGTTTCTGCAGCGTTCCCCTGCTGCTTCCTCTGCTGGAGTGTTCTGCTCTCACCCCGTCCTCCTGGTCAGAGCCTCAGGACCGTGCCCCCAAGGCCTTTGGATGCCTTAGGTCTTGAGATGAAAGCACATTGTTAGCTAGAGGGCCTGCTGTGGCACAGCAGAAGTGGGACGTACTTTCTCAGTGATGTGGTAGCCACCGTGGGGTTTCCAGCTGGATTGCCTAAGGCCTGATTGTAGTGCCGGATACTTCTCGGTACACCAGTTGAGCTTTACTGATCAAGCAGAGCCCCCTCTTTTCACTCTGGCCTCTGTCCCTGTCCTAGGCCATCACCACGGAAGGGAAGTACTGGAAGAGCCGCATCGAGATTGTGATCCGGGAGTATCACAAGTGGAGAACCTACTTCAAGAAAAGGGTATCTGGCTGGAGTGTTCAGGCAGCCCGCCTAGGGAGGGAGCCGGCAGAGTCCCTGGTTCAGAGCCCTGGCCGAGGCTGTAGGCTCCACAGCCGCCCCACCTGGATGTGGAGCATCAAGCAGTAAATCTGGGGCCCAGTGTGCCAGACTAGCCCAGGCGATGGCCTGCCTCAGTCAGGTCATCTTTGCTCTCAGTTTCTCCATCTGTGCATTGGGTGGGAGTCTCCTTTGTGCAGGCATCGGCCTGGGGATGGTGTGAGCAGGACCCCTGCCTACCTCCCCAAGAGTTCTGTATATTCTAGAGCCCTTGGGCCCTCCTAGGGCCATTGGTGACCGCCGTGTCCTGTCCCTTTGCCCACAGCTACAGCAGCACAAGGATGAGGACCTCTCCAGCCTGGTCCAGGTGGGTGAGCCTGGGAGCTCTGAGGACCTCCACTTTGACACGAGACAGCAGGGACTTCGGTGGCCCACCGGGGAGCCCTGCAAAAGGTGGCAGGCCATGGGCCCTCCCTGGAGTCTCAGGAATGGCTCAAGAAGCAGTCCAGCTCTCCATTGGGTGGGCTGGAGGGAGCCACTCTCCGAATGCCTCCACCCTGCTGCCTCACTTCCACGGGGCAGCCCTGTGATGAATTTCCCCAGCTGACAGGTGTGGGAATTCTTCGTCCCACTGTCAGTTACTCTTTGATGCTTCCTCCCCCATGTTGGTGTTGTGTTAGGACGATGACATGCTATATTGGCACAAGCACGGGGATGGATGGAAGACCCCCGTCCCCATGGAGGAGGACCCCCTGCTGGACACAGACATGCTCATGTCGGAATTCAGCGACACCCTCTTCTCCACGCTTTCTTCACACCAGCCGGTGGCCTGGCCCAATCCCCGGGAAATAGGTAACCCAAACCAGGGCCTTGGGCTTTGAACAGCCAGCCGCTTCCTTCTCTGCCAGGCCTCTTCTGGGCCAGGGTTCCTTCAGGGCCGTCTCTGAGCTGCTGCGCATCACGGTTGGGGGCAGGCAGTAAGGAAGGGAAGGATGGCTGGCCTCATTTGACATCCAGGCTGCACATACCGAGTGGGTGGGTCTGCAGAGTGGGCCTACTGGGCCGCTGCCATTCCCGTAGTGCCATGGTGGGAGGATAGCAGCAGGGTCTAGTCTGAGTCATTGGCACATTTCGGATGCTGTTCCCTTCATGGGGGACATGTGCCATGCCTAAGCCAAGGCAGCCGGGCCGTGACTCATACTAAAGAAAATCGGAAGCACTCCCGGGTGTGACCCCTCACCTTGGTGGCATTCAGTCTTCCAGTTAACCCCTCAGGGAAGAGCCCTAAGATTGAAAATTAGAACAGTGTTGGGGGAGGTCTCTGTTCTCTGTTGAGCTCTTCACAGCTTCCTGGGGTGTCCATTCCCTGATACTCAATTTTACCTTCCTGGCAAAAACACTTTCCTGCCTTCTGAGGGTTCGGAATGGCCACAAACCTACGAGAAGGTAGAAATCCCAGCCAGCTCCTTGGAAGACTCTAGAATGTGAGCAGGGCCAGGAAGGTCTGTTTCAGGCCTTTTTTATGTTCCTGCAACATTGTCTGAGAAGACAAAATAGTTCCTCTCTCTGTGATTCTTGCAGCACATCTGGGAAATGCAGACATGATCCAGCCGGGACTGATTCCTTTGCAGCCTAACCTGGACTTCATGGACACCTTCGAGCCTTTCCAGGGTGAGGACCAGAGGCAGACAGAGCATGGCTGCCTGCATCTCCCCCAGCCCAGCACAGAGCAGATCGCTGCCTTCCTTTAAGAGCAAGACTTGGTAGAATGGGCAAGGGGGCGAGCACAGAATTTTTTGAAAAACTAAACTATTTTTTGTAGTAACTGCAAGGTCTGGGAAGTTTTTCTGGGACATTGTTCAGCAAGGAAATTGGTCCTGGATTTAGCCTTGACCATAAGCAGTTCTCCCTCGAAGCAGCAGAGGGCGCTGACGACACAGCCAGCTCCCTGCCAAGGCCCTGCAGTTAGATGGGTCCTTGAGCCCCTGCTGTTGTGAGAGCAGCAGAAACGCCAGGCCTGGGAGTGTTTCAGAGCCCAGGATAGTTGCCAACATGTGTGGTTCCAACCAGAGCCCCCTTTCTACAGGAAAAAAAGGTGTCTCTAAGGGTAATGCCTCTGGCCATGGCACCCCCTGGGCCATGTGGGCTTTAGGGGTTTAGTCCTTGATTTGTTTGAGTCTCTTTTTTTTTTTTTTAGAGACAGGGTCTTGCGCTGTCACCCAGGCTAAAATGCAGTGGCTCAATCATGGTTCACTGCAGCCCTGAACTCCTTGGCTCAAGTGATCCTCCCACCTCAGCCTCCTGAGTACCTGGGTGGTTCACTGCAGCCCTGAACTCCCGGGCTCAAGTGATCCGCACTCCTCAGCCTCCTGAGTACCTGGGACTACAGGCACACACAAACACACCCAGTTCATTTCTTCATTTTTTGTAAAGACAGGGTCTCCTATGTTGCCCAGGTGATCCTCCTGCCTCTGCTTCCCAAAGTGCTAGAATTACAGGTGTAAGCCATCACACCCAGCCTGTTTTAGTCTTTGTTATTTTGAGACAGAGCCTGGCTCTGTAGCCCAGGCTGGAGTACAGTGGCAAGAACACAGCTCACTGCACCCTCTAACTCCTGGGCTTAAGCGATCCTCCCGCCTCAGCCTCCCGTGTAGTTGGGACCACTGGTGGCACCAACCAGGCATGGTGGTTGGCACCATTTTTTTGTTTGTTTGTTTTTTGAGATGGGAGTCTCACTCTGTCGTCAGGCTGGAGTGCAGTGGTGCAATCTTGGCTCATTGCAACCTCTGCTTCCCAGGTTCAAGCCATTCTCCTGCCTCAACCTCCTGAGTAGCTGGGACTACAGGCATGCGCCACCACGCCGGGCTAATTTTTGTATTTTTAGTAGAGATGGGGTTTCATCATGTTGGCCAGGATGGTCTCGATCTCTTGACCTCAAGATCCGCCCACCTTGGCCTCCCAAAGTGCTGGGATTATAGGCATGAGCCACCATGCCTGGCCCTGTTTGAGTCTTGATTCCAGCAAATGCTGGGCACACTGAGCTCAGAAGAACCCTGCTGTTGTTTTTCAGACCTCTTCTCTTCTAGCCGCTCCATTTTTGGCTCCGTGCTACCTGCATCTGCCTCAGCACCTGTACCAGATCCCAACAACCCACCTGCACAGGTAGAGGAAGCTGGGGGATGGGTGGGGGAAGGGGCTGGCAGGCACAGGGCTACTCATCAAAGGTTTGCTGCCGGAGCAAGGCTAATGACATAGCCACACAGTCACCAGCAAAGCGTCAAGCGGTGCTACACCAGTGCTAATGTGCAGAGGCACGATTCCAGCCCTCTGACAGCATCCTTCAGCACCCATGGGTGGGAGACTGTCGGTCCAGGTATGCTCCTGCCTGAGTGCCAGGTAACCTATGTGCAGCTGGCTCTGCTCCGACTAATTAACATGGAATTAGCTAGACAGAGAAGAAAAGCATGGATTACTAATAAAAATATCTTCTGTATATTTCTTTCACGTTTTACTAAGCAATCCAAAAAGTTGCTTACAAGTGCTTGGGCTACAGAGCTGAGCGAGGTACCATTCTTTGTCCTTATGGAGCCCTCATGCTTATGCCCATGACCAGTTAGATACTGGTAAGCTGGCATCATCTTCAAACAGGCTCCAGGAAGAATTTCTACTGCAGAGACTGGGATCTGAACCATTCCTCGTAGCTTTTCTTATTTAGGAAGAGGTGGCCTGATGACCAGTTGACACGTGAGATTGTCTTCGGGGAGCCCTGAGCAGCTGCAGTCCAGGCTACCTCTTCTCAGTAACAGAAGATGGCAGAGACTTTGGGAGACTCTGCTGGACTCCAGAAACAAGATATTCCCAGGCTGCTAGCCAGCTGTGTGAGGGCCGTTGCCTTATCTGAGCTCTGAGTTACTTAGTTTTTAATGGAAACAAGACCCCCGCAGACACGCAGGGAAACACAAATCCCTGTCCCCAGATCAGCAGCCATGGGCATGGAGACATGGCCTTTGTGCCTCTGTCCTAGCGCCTGGCCTGTGTAGTTGGACTTGGCAGTGTGCAGCGCTAGAAAGGAATTGTATGACCCCAGTGTTGCTTCCTGGCTCCTCTTTTCCTTTTTCAGGAGAGCGTCCTGCAGACCACCGCCCTCCCCACTGTGAGCCTGCCTGACAGCCTCATCGTGCCCCCCACCGCCCCGCCCCTGGCTCACGTGGACGGGCAGAGCTGTGAACACACCTCCCGGGCTGAGGACCCGTTTATCCAGCCCACGGACTTCGGTCCCTCAGAGCCACCACTGAGTGTCCCACAGCCCTTCCTCCCCGTCTTCACCATGCCCCTGCTGTCTCCCAGCCCCGCTCCACCACCTGTCTCCCCCGTGTTACCGTTAGTTCCTCCTCCTGCCACTGCCCTGAACCCCCCAGCTCCACCCACCTTCCACCAGCCACAGAAGTTTGCTGGAGTGAGCAAAGTGCCGTCTGTCATCACCCACACGGCCTCCGCCACCCTCACCCATGACGCCTCTGCCACCACCTTCAGCCAGAGTCAGGGCCTTGTGATCACCACCCATCACCCTGCCCCATCAGCAGCCCCCTGTGGACTGGCACTGTCTCCTGTCCCCCGGCCTCCCCAGCCACGGTTAACTTTTGTGCACCCCAAACCTGTATCCTTGACTGGGGGCAGGCCTAAGCAGCCCCACAAAATAGTGCCTGCTCCCAAACCAGAGCCCGTGTCCTTGGTGTTGAAGAACACCTGCATCACCCCAGGTGAGCCAGGTGGGGGAACTCGGTGTGGGGCTCCCCCTGACCCAGAGCAGAGGGATGTTTTCCCATCCCAAAGGCTTTCAAACTTGTGACCACCACCCCCACCCTGGTGTGCACATGTGCGCACATGCACACACAACCACTTAAATGAAACAAAAGTGGCATTAAATAATACATGTCCATGATCTAGTCCATTTTCTATGCTCTATCTTTTTTTGGTTTTTTTGTTTGTTTTTTTTTGAGACAGAGTCTTGCTCTGTCACCCAGGCTGGAGTGCAGTGGCATAATCTTGGCTCACTGCAACCTCCGCGTCCTGGGTTCAAGCGATTCTCCTGCCTCAGCCTCCCGAGTAGCTGGTATTACAGGTGTGTACCACCATACTCGGCTAATTTTTGTTTGTTTGTTTGTTTGTTTTTTGAGACAGAGTCTCACTCTGTCGCCCAGCTCTAGTGCAGTGGTGTAATCTCGGCTCACTGCAACCGGGTTCAAGCGATTCTACTGCCTCAGCCTCTTGAGTAGCTGGGATTATAGGCACCCATCACTACATCCAGCTAATTTTTTGTATTTTTAGTAGAGACAGGGCATCACCATGTTGGCCAGGCTGGTCTTGAACTCCTGACCTTGTGATTCACCCTCCTCAGCCTCCCAAAGTGCTGGGATTACAGGCATGAGCTACCACGCCCAGTCCATTTTTTTTATTTTTAGTAGAGATGAGGTTTCATCATGTTGGCCAGACTGGTCTCGAACTCCTGATCTCAGGTGATCTGCCCACCTCGGCCTCCCAAAGTGCTAGGATTACAGGTATGAGCCACCGCACCCAGTCTCTATTCTCTTTTTTTTTCTTTTTTTTTTTTGAGATGGAGTTTCACTGTTGTCGCCACGACTGGAGTGCAATGGCGCAATCTTGGCTCACTGCAGCCTCCGCCTCCCGGGTTCAAGTGATTTTCCTGTCTCAGCCTCCTGAGTAGCTGGGATTACAGGCGTGTGCCACCACACCTGGCTACTTTTGTATTTTTAGTAGAGACGGGATTTTACCATGTTGGCCAGGCTGATCTCAAACTCCTGACCTCAGGTGATCCACCCACCTCGGCCTCCCAAAGTGCTGGGATTACAGGTGTGAGCCACAGCACCCAGCCTCTCTATCTTTTTTTAAAGTTAGTCACAACCTACAATGTGAAAACACATGGTCCTGGCTATCTCTTTACTGGTTCTATAACATATCTCCTTCAAGAAGTCACACAAAGTTTTAGGTGCCTTGGTGCCTTCGTCTTCCTGTCCCCTGCAGTTGGAAACAAGCTGTCTCACTGGCAGAGAGGCAGCCTCTGCAGGGTGGGCCAAGCCCTGTGGCCCAGGGCTGCACCTGAACCTCCTCCTTGTCCTGGCAGCTGCCTTTTCAGGCCAACCACAAGCAGTGATCATGACGTCAGGGCCTCTGAAGAGAGAAGGGATATTGGCCTCCACGGTGTCCCAGTCCAACGTGGTCATCGCACCTGCTGCCATCGCCAGGGTGAGGAGGGCCCTGGACAGACCCGCAGTGTCCTTCTCACCCGGAGCACCCTGTTCTTGGGCAGCCCTCACCTGAGACGATGGGTGTGCCGCCCTGCTGTGCATCAGCGGTTGGGGGTGACCTCTCTCCCATGTCACTGCAGGCTCCTGGGGTCCCGGAGTTCCACAGCAGCATCCTGGTGACAGATCTCGGCCATGGCACGAACAGCCCGCCTGCCCCCATCTCCCGTCTCTTCCCGAGCACAGCGCAAGACCCCCTGGGGAAGGGCGAGCAGGTCCAGCTGCATGGGGGCAGCCCCCAGGTCACTGTCACAGGGCCCAGTGAGTGTTCACTCAGCAGGATGGTTGGGACATCACAAGGGAAGTAACTGGGCCTGCTGTGGATCATGGGGGGCGCTTGCTGGGTCCTCAGGACGGAACCTGGGCTTAGAACACACAGTGAGATCTTGTAAGCCTGCCAATAACACAGTCTGGGAACATGCTCTGTGGGTGGCAGGATGACCTGTGGTGGCACTGGCAGGGCAAAAAGTAGTGGGCACGTGGCCGTGTAGGTGACCAGTGTGCTCAGGGAGTCCCAGCTGACTGCCCGCGAAGGCCTGGCACTGAGCTGCTGTTCTCACCCAGAGAAGGGATTGAGGAGCCCTGGGGTTCCTGTCTCTGGGAACTTCAGCCTGGGGTTGCTGTGGCCACAGAAGCCACCCAGCCTCATCTGGGCACCAACATGGCCTTCCCCAGCAGGTCTCAGCACTACAGGTCTGTGCCCCATGCCCACTCTTGGGCCATCCAGGGGTGAGACAGTCAGAGCAGGACTGATTTTGCCCAGGGACATCTGAGGAGCCAGCAGGCCAGGTCAGGGACGAATGGTTTGCCCGAGGCTGTGCTGCTGGTAGAGGGTGTAAGCAGATGGGGCCTCTTCCCTCAAATGCCTGCCGTGCCAGGAAGGGAAATGGAAATGGCCTCTTTTCTTAAATAAAAGCATGGTGTAGGCCGGGTGCAGTAGCTCATGCCTGTACGCCCAACACTTTGGGAGGCTAAGGCAAGTGGATCACTTGAGGTCAGGAGTTCAAGACCAGCCCGACCAACATGGCGAAAAATAAAAATAAATTTTTTTTTGTCCCTACCTAATAATAATAATAATAATAACAACAACAACAGGGCGTAGTGGCATGCACCTGTAGTCCCAGCTACTCAGGAGACAGAGATGGGAGAATCACTTGAACCCAGGAGGTGGCGGTTGAAGTGAGCTGAGATGGAGTCACTGCACTCCAGCCTGGACGGCAGAGCGAGACTCCATTTTAAACAAACAAAAGCATGGTGTAGCTGCTCCTGGAACTCTGTGAGCGAAGAGTTGTCTCCCTCCTCAGGAAGACACGAATGAGGGAGGGTCTCTGACTTAGCGGGCTCGGCCAGCAGGGGCCTTTTCCAAGGACAGGCTTTGGAGAATAAGGACTCTTCAGTCTGGAAAGACAGAAACACAGGAGAGTTGGGAGTCAGGCCCCTCAAATAATCGAGGGAGAGGTTAGGGCCAACCATTGCCTTGGTCTCCGGAGTCTCAGAACACAGAACTTAGAGCCTGCTGTACAGCTTCACGGGGAGTTTGGGGAAAATAATCCAACAGAGAGGAAAGGAAGCTGAGGCATTTGTTACAGTAAAGCGGGATGGGCCAAGAAGGCCGAGTCCACCTGGGGCCAAGCGCGGTCGCTCACTCCTCTAATCCCAGCACTTTGGGAGGCTGAGGCAGGTGGATCGCTTGAGCCCAGGAGATTGAGACCGGCCTGGACAATATAGTGAGACCTTGGCTCTATAAAAAATGTTTTTTAATTTAAAAATATAATAATAATAAGGAGCCCACCTGCGAAATATCTCCTAAAGTGACACCAGTGACTGGAACACGTCACACAGGGTGGCTCCATCGTGTTCTGTGTGGGTTAAGGGTGTTTTTGTTGTTGTTATGAATTTAAAATTTCTGGGGAGTGAATAAGAAAAATCTAAGGAAGCATGTGTGTGCAGTTTAAAGAACCAAGTGCAGCACATGGGTAGCAGCGAGCACCTCATAACCCTGCAGAGACCCCGGGCTGCCTCCTGGTGGCTTTGAGGGGCCAGGGCTCCGTCCCCCGTCCCTCAGAGGAGTCTGTCCTTACCAGGTCGGGACTGCCCAAACTCAGGGCAGGCCTCTCCATGTGCATCGGAGCAGAGCCCCAGTCCTCAGTCTCCCCAGAACAACTGCTCAGGGAAATCCGACCCCAAAAATGTGGCTGCACTAAAGGTACTACATGTCTCTCTTGGGTCTTGGTTCCCTTGGGAGGAGGGGAGAGGAGTGCAGAAGGACATCAAGGAGCTGTGTCTGTCTGGAAGGGAGACCTCAGACCCAGCCAGAGCTGCCCAGGCAGGGGTGGATCAGAAATGGGCTTCTCCTTGCCCCATCCCACAAACCAGCCCTGTGGGGACGGTGAGCCCGCTGGAGGCTTCTGAGTGGGCCCCAAGCCCAGGAACCAATGCTGAGTCCACGTAGTGTGGCAGGTACCGCATCAGTTGCAGGAAGGGTGTGGCCACCACCAAGGCTGGGCTGGGTGGGGAAGGCAGGGCTTGCAGCATCTGGGATGCACCCGTGCAGCCCCGCGGTTCCCAGCCCTGGCTGTGCTCCGTTCTGCAGAGCAGGTTTTCTATGGTTCCCCGTCTTGTCCCCGCGGCTCCTCATTGGAGCCTTCAGCTTCTTGTCATGCCCTCCTCCCACGTAGCTCTCTAGCCCTGGCCCTTGGGCACCCAGCATCAGCGTAGGGAGTGAGGAGGGGTGGGCAGTGTGCCTGCAATGTGCCTGTCTCAGTGACCAGCGGGTTCTCCAGCAGAACCGGCAGATGAAGCACATCTCAGCTGAGCAGAAAAGGCGCTTCAACATCAAGATGTGCTTCGACATGCTCAACAGCCTCATCTCCAACAATTCCAAGCTGGTGAGTTGCCAAGAGTGTGGGCCATGGCAGGGCAGGGGAGCTGGCAAGACGTGCTCCCTGCGTGGTCATTGCTGGTGGCAGGCCTGCTGGCTGTGGGTGCCGCCTCCAGCCACCTGCCCCTTCTGCAGACCAGTCACGCCATCACACTGCAGAAGACCGTGGAGTACATCACCAAGCTGCAGCAGGAGAGGGGCCAGATGCAGGAAGAGGCCCGGCGGCTTCGGGAGGAGATCGAGGAGCTCAATGCCACCATCATGTGAGCTTCTGGGCCTTGGGGCTCCAACCAGGCACCCCAACCCTACGCAGGGCCTGCCTCAGAGGTGGTGGGACCCTGTGGCCTCGTCACTGGTCGATGTCTCTTTGCTGCAGTAGTTCTGCTCTTTGTCACCCTCCTACCACAGACCTCTCTTCTCTGTGCCTGGCTGTAGCACAGCACTGGGCCAGCCCTGTCCATCTTGTGTCCCAAGGTCCTTATTGGCCACTGGCTGCTCCACAGCTCCCACGGCTCCTGTCATTTCAGCTCCTGCCAGCAGCTGCTCCCTGCCACGGGAGTCCCCGTCACCCGGCGCCAGTTTGATCACATGAGAGACATGTTTGACGAATACGTGAAAAGCCGGACCTTGCAGAATTGGAAGTTCTGGATTGTATCTTTGGGTTTTCTTTTTGCTCTTCCCCGCCCTCAGCCAATGCACTGAAGCCACAGACCTTGGCACTGTAGTTACTTTAGAAAGACTCTTTAAATGCCTGTCAGCGAGCTCCTCACGACAGGCAGTGCTAGTGTCTATCTCGGGAGAGAGTGGTCCGGCCTGGCCTACTGTGTGGGCTGGAGCTGCTGATGGGGCTTCAGGGTGCTTTGCAGGAAGGGCTAAGGAGGCAGAACGGTGGGCTTCGCTCTCTAGGTCCTTAAGAAATCAGGACAATGCTAAAGCCACTTGCAGAAGGTGCAGGGGAAGGAAGAGTGGTCCCACAAAGCCTGGCAGCCAGCTTGGTCCTTGAAGCCACAGGGAGGGTGAGTGCCACCCCTGCTGTGACAGGCGGAAACCAGGACTCCCTCCACCGAGTGGCAGAGCCCAGTCTGAAGCCTGACGGAGCATGTCCACCTCTGTCCACCTCTGGGGGCTCTTGGGCCAAGGCCACCCTGCACTTGGCCTTCCAGGTGGCAGCATGGCTCTTATGGGGAGTGGTTCCTGCCTGGTCACTCCCCACCCTGCCACTGCTCTGCCTCTGAGTAAACAGTCAGCACATGTGTTGGGTTGGCCGTGGCATTGAGGCTTGGGTCTGACAGTCAGAGGTGACGGTCGTGCGGGAGGAGAGAATCCCAGTTGCAGCTGTCAGGCAGGGCAGGCACAGCACCTGTGTGTGCGGGAAGCGGCAGGTATTTTTGTTTGTATCTTTTTTTCCCCTGAGACAGGGTCTCACTCTGTCACCCAAGCTGGAGTGTAGTGGTGCAGTTACAGCTCACTGCAGCCTTCACCTTCCCAGACTCAAGTGATCCTCCTGCCTCAGCATCCTGAGTAGCTGGAACTACAGGCTCACGCTACTATGACCGGCTAATTTTTGTATTTTTAATGGAGATGGGGTTTCACCATTTTGGCCAGGCTGGCCTCGAACTCCTGACCTCAGGTGATCCCCCCGGTCTTGGCCTCCCAAAGTGCTGGGATTACAGGTGTGAGCCACCATGCCCGGCCATAAGAGGCAGTTTTTAAATGAACAGGTGACAGCCTCCAGCTCTGATTCCCTGTGTTGCTGTTTTACTGCCTGCCCTAGTCCTGATCCCTGTCATTAATAGAGCTGGGTGGCATCTGGAATGAATTGGAGCCTCTTTGATGAAATGGCACACTCCCCATCATCAGACTGGGGTGGGGGAACTGTGGGCGTCGTCCTGATCAAAGTCCAAGAGGAAACATGCCTCAGGCCTTCACTAAGATGGTCTAGGAGACTGGCATGCATTTTTGCATTTAACACAGAAGGCAAACACCACTTTCAGGCAGATGGCTCCTGCCTTTATTTATTATTATTTTTGAGAACAGAGTCTTGCTTTGTCGCCCAGGCTGGGGTGCAGTGGCACAAGCTCGGCTCACTGCAACCTCCGCTTCCTGGGTTCAAGTGATTCTCCTGCCTCAGCCTCCCAAGTAGCTGGGATTATAGGCACCCACCACCATGCCCGGCTAATTTTTGTATTATTAGTAGAGACAGGGTTTCACCAAGTTGGCCGGGCTGGTCTCAAACTCCTGACCTCAAGTGATCCACCCACTTCAGCCTCCCAAAGTGCTGGGATTACAGGCGTGAGCCACCGTGCCCGGTTGGCTTCTGCCTTTCCACCTGTTCTGTGCTTCTGATGTTCCTGCCACTGTATGTAAGAATGATTTTGATCACATGGTTGTGCTAGGACCTGTTCCAGACTAGAGACCTTCTGTGTCCCTGCCCCCTGCCCGCTTGGTGTTCGGCCCTGTTGTCCAGATACAGTTAGAGCAGAGTGTTTTCGTGAAGTGGAAGACATACCTTGCCTAGAGATCGCTCCCCCTTTTCCCCAGTGATCCATTCTCTGTGGGCAGATGCTTTCCAGCCCCGGGGGAAAGGAGTAGGCCAGCCCGGCCACCTTCAGGTCTGCAGTCCCCAGCCCTTCTCTGTGCCTGCCTTTTCTTTAACCACACACTGCAGTTCAGCATAATTATCAAGCCGCTGTTTGAGTCATTCAAGGGCATGGTGTCCACCAGCAGCCTGGAGGAGCTGCACCGGACGGCGCTGTCCTGGCTGGACCAGCACTGCTCCCTGCCCATCCTCAGGCCAAGTGAGTGGGGCAGTGCCAGGGTGAGGGGCTTCATGCTAGTCCTGGAGGGAGGACAGCCCCAGGCTGAGGACAGTGTTTGCCAGACTCCGTTGCAGGCAACCAGGTGGGGCCGGGGCAGGGGCACAATGCTGTCCAGGAGGCCCTCAGTCAGGAGCGTCCAGTGGGGGCTGGAGGCTCCTGCCCTCCCATGTCTCCCAGCCTGCTCAGACCCAGCTTGCATGGATCGAGTGCCCACTATTTGCCAGGCCCTGTATCAGGTGCCTTCAAGTGTGTTTTCTTGTGTAATTCTTATAATAACAAGCAAAGATGATCCTGTATGTTAAGGTTATAGAAGCTTAATATCAGAACAGCTGGCAGCCCCGTGGCACCAGGAACAGCATAGGATGCTCCGTCTACGGCAGCTCCTGCTAGGATTTGGGGAGGCTTCTGGAGGCAGAGGGGTGAGTGCCCAAGTCTTGGCGTAGGCCCCCAGCACTCCTCCCTGCAGTCCAGAGCGGCTGCCACTTGCCCCATGTCTGAGCATTCCCACATGGGTTGTAGGTACGAAACCGGGTGTGTGGTGTGTAGTGGTTCTGTGTCACTGCCCGTGTCTGACCCTTTCTGTCTTGCAGTGGTGTTGAACACGCTGCGGCAGCTGAGCACCTCCACCTCCATCCTCACAGACCCGGCACAGCTGCCGGAGCAGGCATCCAAGGCCGTCACCAGGATCGGCAAAAGATTGGGAGAGTCCTAGCTGCTTAGCTGGCATGCAGCCGCATGAGATGCCAGGAGACCCTTCCCTGCTCATGGAGAGTGGGCTGCGCCCCCCCAGCCCTTCCTGACGCTCAGCCTTGGGGCCGCTCTCCAACTCTGCTGGCCCACTGTGGCGTCGGGAGGCCATGCTCAGGTCTGAAGCAGGTTCGGGGCCTGCTGACAGCAATAGCCCGCCTTCGGGAACCCCTTGCTGTGAACTCTCTCACTCAGTGACCTCAGTCACCAACCTCTTCTGCCCTTGGGGCAGCCCAGACAAAAGGGAAGTGCTGGCCGTGCTGGTCCTGCCCTGCTGGTGGCCTGCCAGGCCTGGCGCCAGTGAGCAGAAGCGATGGGATGAGGGTGACAGGGCCTGCTCCTGTCCTGAGGCCCAGCCTTGTCCCTCCTGCCACGTCTTGTCTACATGCATGCCTCTGCCTGATGCCCTGCTCCACTCTCTGGCCTGCCCGTGGGGCAGTCGGAAGGCATCTTTCTTTCTCCCCTCAACTCTTGACAATGCCTGGCCCTTGTGGATGGACTTGGGCTTCTATTCAGGCTTATGCATGGCAGGCTGCCAGGAGGAAGTGCCTTCTTCAGAGAGCCTCCAGGACACATGTGTGCAGAAACGGTGGATGTGGGACACACAGGACCAGAATGGAAGTGTGTGATGCACGGTGGCTGCTCTGGCTGAGAGGCCCTGCTGGGTGTGTTTCATCAGTCCCCTTTTAGCTCCACCTGACGTTGCAGGATCCACAGGGACTCAGCCTAGAACTTTCTCGAATGTCACTTCACCCTTCTGCCATTCTTCTCTACTTGTCTCCAGCTGCAGCTGTTGACAGGTCAAGCGTGACCAGTGGGAGCTTAGAACCCTGAAGTTCTAGTGTCCGAAAGATCAGACTCCATGTCTTGCTGTCAGCCTTGTCATCTTGTCTGATGTCTTTCAGCTGGGTTCCCCAAACCAGGACAGTTCTCAGACCAAGGATGCCCCCACACTCAAAAGTCTGTCCTGTCTTGTGTTTGGAGAAGGAAACAGTGTTGGCGGGCAGCACTCTGCGGTGGTCAGCCCTCAGAGCTGTCTCTAGGCATCTCTCAGATCAGACAGCAAAGAATCTACCCAGATCAGGGCTGGGTGGAGGCGTGGCTGGGCTGGGAGCCATTTTGAGCCTGCAGCGGGAGGTTGGCCCAGCCTCAGTCCTTGCCCTTTTCCGGCTACCTCTGCAGGGAGCTGCAGGGGCAGGCACTCTCTCCAGCACTCAGGAAGCCCGGCTGAGGGTACCTCTTCGTGGAAAGAACGCACTTTAAAGCTCTGCTGAGGGGTTCGGAGCCCAGGCTTTCAGGCGACTTCTGCCCTCTCTGCCTCTCTTCACCCTCCCTCTCTGCCTGCAGGGCCTGGGAAGGGCTTTGAGGGAGCCTGAGAGCCGTGTGAAGAGGGGCACCCCGGGCTGTCCCCAAAGTTTAGATCCAGTTGGAGGTTCTCCCTGGCTCCTGCAGGCCTGCAGGGGTCTCTCCCCAGTTCAGGCCTCCGGCCAACCGCCTGCCCCCTTATCTGTGCTTCAGCCTTGCACAAAAGCAGCTTGGTGACACCACTCAGCCACTCAGAGCATGTGTTTACAGGCTTTCCAGATCACCTTCCTTTGGGGTGAACATAAGATGAGGCTGGGCTGGTCCTTGGAATTTCCCCTGGGAAATGGTAACAGACTCCATCCTTGACCCGGGGATAAGCATGAAGGCAATGTCCCAAAGGCAGAGGCCACGGTGGTAGGAATTCCACCAAGGCCAGAAGGGAAAAAGGAAGAGGCCACCGTGTCCAGCTGTGTGGGCCCTGGGGAGGGTCGTGAGTGCAGCCCCTCTCCACTTCCGTGCCTTTGTAAAACGTGTAGATTAACCGCAGTGGTTGGCTGAGCCAAGAACTCTCCTAAGTCAGTGGCTTTCTCTCCACCCCTTGCTGGGGATTCATTCTTTTTAAACTCTGTGGGATATAAAATTGGCCTCCTGCTGCTTCGGCCTACCTCTCCCTCTGCTGACTTAATGTCATGATTCTGTTTCTTCAGGTATTTAAGGCTGTTAGGTTGTGTGAGCCTTGAAGGGTGTGTGTGTGTGTGTGTGTGTGTGTGTGTGTGTGTGTGTCCCAGCAACTGTCCACTGTCCAGGAGATGCATGTCTTTGCATTGGAGATATTTCTGTAACTCGTTCTCTTGGTGCTCACGATTGCCATGGCCATAGGGCCACAGTGCCGTATCTCTGCTGCAGACATGATTGTTTCTTGTTCTAGAGGTTTTCTTGTTTTCAAATCTTGCCTGATGAATCCAGCCAGACCAAGGGGCCTAGATTTGACCTCTGTCCTGGGCTCCTGGGCCAGGTGCAGGGACATCTGAGGCCACTCTGCTGGCCGCCTCCAGTGGGAGCTGACCTCAGGGTGGGCTTTGTTTACACTCATTTTCACCCTGATTCTTGCCCCCACTTTCATAAAAGAAATTTCAAAATGCTGACGCTTTGGAGAGTAAGAAAATCAATCTTGGCTGGGCGCGGAGGCTCCTGCCTGTGATCCCAGCACTTTGGGAGGCTGAGGCTGGAGGATCACTTGAGCTCAGGAGTTGGAGACCAACCCTAGCAACATAACAAGATCCTGTCTCTACAAAACAAAATTTAAATTAGCCGGGTGGGTGTGGCAGTGAGTGCCTGTGGTCCCAGCTACTTGGGGCTGAGGCTGGAGGATTACTTGAGCCTAGAAGTTGCAGTGAGCTATGATCATGCCACACTGTACTCCAGCCTGGACTGACAGAGTAAAACCCTGCCTCTAAATAAAAGAAAACAGAGGCCGAATGCGGTGACTCACACCTGTAATCTGAGCCCTTTGGGAGGCCAAAGTGGGTGGATCACCTGAGGTCGGTCCGGAGTTCACAACCAGCCTGACCAACATGGTGAAACCCTGTCTCTTCTAAAAATACAAAACATTAGCCGGGTGTGGTGATGCACGCCTGTAATCCCAGCTACTGGGGAGGCTGAGTCAGGAGAATCGCTTGAACCTGGGAGGCGGAGGTTGCAGTGAGCCGAGATTGCACCACTACACTCCAGCCTGGGTGACAGAGCGAAACCCTATCTCAAAAAAAAAAAAGAAAGAAAAAAATAGAAAATCCAAAAAGAAAAACCAAAAGTCCTGCTGGAATCCCTGGCGGGTTTCTGAGAAATCGCCCTGTGCTGTCAGCCCCTGCCCTGCACTGCTGCCTTCTGTGGTGGGTGGGAGACCCCAGAGCAGGGCAGGCGCTACTGAGGGCCTTTCTTGGAGTTGGCCGTCAGGCCACACAGCATCCGGCACCCTGGGTGGGCTGGCTGGCCACCTTCTTAGGACGTCTCTACTTTGGAGGATTTTACTGCAGGAAGCAGCGGCAGTGCTGGCCATTGGTGCTGATGACAACATTGGGTTTGGTTGAGGGGAAGGGGCTGGAAAGCAGCAGGCCCCCCAGTGCTGCACATGGTCCCGGAGCCGTCGGCCAGGGGAGTGGGGTCAGTGGTCAGCCAGCCCTCCCATTTCCTGCCTATGGGCCCTGACCACACTCCCTTTTCTAGAAGTCAATCCTAAGGTTTCCCTGCTCTGGCTAAGAGGGATGTAAATTTGGATTCTTGGAGGGCATCACACCCCCAGTCCCTGCCCAGATAAAGTGGCACAGTGGCATGCGGCACCTCTTTCTGTTGCTGGGGTGGGGGGCTCACACACCCACCTCATCTCTGTGCGGAGCTGTGACCGGCCCCGCCGGCAGCTGGAGTACAGGTAAGGGTCTCTCTCAGAGGGGAGCTGTAGCCGGGAACTGGCAAGGCCCCTTCCTGCAAGGCCCTAGCTGGCCTCTGGGTGAACCTGAGGTGGCAGGTTCAAGTTTTCAAGATGGTGAGGTCTTGTCTGCTGGACAGGACATTATGCTCTCAGAACTCGTGGGAGTGGAGCTGGGCCTGTCCTGGGCCAGTGGACCCCTGTGTGGGGGGGATTTGGGGTGCTGCGGGCCTGATTCTGCACTGGCAGATGGACTTTGCTTTAATCCAGCTCTTTCCTTACCCTGGCTCTGACGTGGGAAGGCTTGGAGGGCCCCTCTCATCACCCCTGTTGGCCCTCAACTGTCCCTTTCCTTTGTCGCCTGGCTCCTGCCTGGCCTGCCTGAGGCCTCCTAGCAGGCACCCTGGGTGTGAGTTGAGCCTCTCTCTTTTCCCTCTGATGGGAAAGTGGCCTTTCCCTCGACACCTGCTCCCTGGCCCCAGAGGAACCCACCCGTTTTGGAGCTCAGCTTGGCCCAGCATTTCCTTGGGGAAGGGAAAGGAGAGCTGGACAGCCTGATCCAGGCAGGCAGTGTGTGCAGTGGTGGCCGGCCAGGGTGCCACAGATGTACGGAGATGTGGCGTGTGGCTCCGGGCCCTCGACATCTCTGCTTTGCAGGATTTTACCTTGTCTGCACACCTGTCAGGGGAGAGGGGACAGCAAGGTGGGAGGTTGAAGAGCTTTGAGGCTCAGCAGCATGTTTGTGGCATTCAGTGGACTCCGTGGCCTTGGGCAGCTGGACAGGTTTTTGTGATGTGAGGGACATACATGGGGCACATGGGAAGCTTGACCAGGGCTCCAGGAACGCTGACAAAGTGTTTTAGGACCCCCCACCCCCATGCCTGTACCAGGGCTGGCCTCCAGAGTGGGTGAGGACAGAGCAGCTGTAGGCTTTTCATTCTGAGGTTTTGGCCCGCCCTGGCTACCGCGTGGGACTCTTTGCTTGTCAGGGCTTGCAAAAAATCAACCTTCGAGAAAGAAAAGGGAACTCTTCACGTTGAATGTTGACTCTGTGTGTGTGTGTGTGTGTGTGTGTGTGTGTGTGTGAGAGAGAGAGAGAGAGAAGGTCCTATGGTCACAGCTCTAGAAAATCATTATCCGTGTGTGTGTGTGTGTGTGTGAGAGAGAGAGAGAGAGAGAGCGCATGCGCGTGTGCACTTGCACAAGCTTGCGTGTCCGTGTTTACTTCATGGAATTTTGTTTTTGTGAAATCCCCCTCCAATCATGTGTCAGAATTTACCTCCATGCCCCAGTCACACTGTTGGTTCTGCTCTCTGAACCCGGGTGTAACTCATTTGAAGGACTCTCTTCTGTGTTTCCTAACAGTTATTTGGTGGTCTCAAGAGTTGAGGTTGTGGAGGGTTGGGAGAAACTGAAATTCTGTACATTTCCATAGAGTTTACATCCTGCAGTTAAAAGGCAGGAAGGGCTCAGCCCGGGCCCCACAGCTCCACACCGCCCCCCACGGGCCGCCCACAGTGCCCCCGTTTCTCCAGCTGAATCTTTTTCGAACAGCCCAGGAAAGGAAAGCGGGTTCGCTTGCTGATTTTGTTCACAGCGGAAGCACCATGTTCTGTTCCTTTTTTAGGTTCAGTTTGTTGTGTAAATGGCGGTTTTTTCTGGTGTGAGCTTTGGTGATTGTGGCAGGGCTCCTCTGAGGAGACGGTTCCACCTCGTGGTTTGAAGAACAAACCAGAGAAGAGTCTGGTTTGGCCAGAGGACCCCTCTGGCCCACGTCACCCTGAGTACGCCCCTCTGATGCTCTGCCGTCAAGAAGCACGTTTCCACCAGCTGTATTCAACACTACAATGCATTTTTAAAACTATATTTGCATCCAAGACAATAAAGAAACCTTATTTTTTTTGAAAAGCCTGTGATGTGTGGCCTTAAATGCTATCCTGTTGCGCAGTGGGAGAGATGGGAAAATGAAGAGATCTGAGCACAGGCCAGCTCGCTCCTTCTAATCTCGGGAGGTGTGATCAGCCTGGGATGGAGGCATCGGGTGGGAAAGAGGCCCAGGGTGGGAGGGCGATTCTGGAGGTGTATCCAGAAAGTCAGTGCTCCTAAAGACAGGCCTCCCTGCAAAGGCTGATGAGAAAGGCCCAGTGTGGCAGGTTCTGCCTGTTTCCTCAGCAGGGGCTAGTGAGGCAGGCCACTGCTCCAGGCCGCACCCACGTGGACAGAGCTCACTGGTGCCCCTGTAAACCTCTCATTTCCTCATCCAGGACTTGGGCAAACAGCACCACGCCTGCACACTTGACAGTTTCACGTGAAATCACGTGTGTCTGCGTGTTCAGTAGCCCGTGGAGCTCTGTGCTTAGAGAGTGCAGTCATCAGCACAGCCAGCACTGGCCCAGCTCTGCAAGATCCTCAGTCACAGTGGGAGCCTCCAGGCACTGTGGTTCTCCTGCTTATTATTGACTCAATACCAGAGATGGGAAAGACTAGAAAACTGACCAGTAGAAATGTCCCTTTGTTCAGGTGCTGAGAAGGTTTGGCTCATCTCTGTTTCATGTAGAAGCTTTTCTCTGCCATTTTCCTGGGGCCCACACCCACCCATCTGGCCCCTTGTGCCTGGACAGGGTGACCCAGCAAGAAGAGCCAGCCCCGCACGGAGCCGTGGGGTTGATTCACGAGATGACTGCCCAGATCTGGATCTCGATGTAGAATGCAGTGGGTTGATACACAAGCTCTTGTCTGATCAAACCTCCACGCCTCCCCTGAGGAGACACAAAGCAAGCCTGGGCCTTGAGAACCGGGGGTCCTCGAGAGAAAGGTGAACGCCTCACAGACTCCTTTGGGCTGGAAGGAACTCGGTTTCCACTGAGCTCAGCAACAAGTGTCTGTGTTAATGTTTTGAGCACAGCTCCATACCTACCTGGGATCCTAAAAGATGGTAGAGACGTGATTGGAGGAGAAAGCTGAGTTTTCTTTTGGGTTGGGGAGGGAGTAGCAGCGATAGGAGCAAGATCCGGAGGGAGCGAGGCCAGTGCCCTGGAGTCCCGTTCCTTGATGTGCACTGGACCCTGCTCAGGCTTAACGTTTGCGGCTGCTGCAGGGGCATGTACAGCTCTGCACAGTTCTCAAGGTGGTGGCGTGGTTAATTCCATTTACAGATAAACCAGAGTCATATCTGAGGTAGCAAGGCCACATGGGTCAGAGAAGCCTAACAGGGCTTTTCCATCTTGTAAGTGGCCTCTCC